TAGCTTCTTTCTGCCTAACTTCTTTCAGCTTTCATATTTCATATCTGCTGGTTTAGCCGAATCATCCAATACTAGCTCATATAAATCTTTGCAGTATAAATGATCTTTCATCATAGGTTTTCAAATTGAATAATTTGATGCTATTAATTTTATCATGAAACTTGTATCACCCTCCATTATCTCTAACGGAATTTACTTTTGTCTTGGGTTACTTCTGTATTGATGTTCCAAAACAACCTTTGCTCTGAAAACACTTGTTGGGCCTGAAGCAATAAATACAACAACGCGTAAGTAATATATCCCAATAAACCCACAATAATAGACAACAATCAATAATCAACAATGATGAAAAACAAAACACACCAAGATTTATGTGAAAAATCCTCCAGTGTATAGGAAAAAACTATAGATCACCAGAAAAATCTCTACTATCAAATAATGGATATACAAAGTTCTTTTCTAGCTAAAACTAGAGCTAATCAACAACTAGAGAGATAATTGGAGAAGTTTCTCTAAATAGGTGACTCAACAAATACATCATGGATTTGTTCCTATAGAGTTTCAAACCCGATCTTCACCGTTGAGAATATAGAACTCTGAATTATAAACCTGTTGACAAAGTTTCAGCTCAATCGGACCACAAATCAACTTTCGTTCAACCAACTCTTTCTTCTTCTTTTTTCCCAGCTTTTCTTCTTTCTCTTCTTGGTTTGGGATACTACCTTAAAACAACTTCACCTATTTTTATTAAGTAGCTAGAGCTCTATGTAAAAAAAAAGACCAAAGCCCATGGCCTTTGATTGGTCTAAAACCAATTACATGGGGTTGAACCGCATTTTCATAACACTTTTTACTTTAATCATTGTACAATGAGCTGCAAAATATTGAAAATTTTACTCAGCAAATTTACCCTTCCTTGTTTTACCCTCATCTTTGTGAATGTATAGCTTGTTTCACAATATCTATGATGTTTGCACTTTGCAGAGAACTGGTTTTTTGGAAAAGATGGATTGGCAATTCACCTGGTTGCATAGCACCACAATACCATCGAAACCGATAATCATTTGTTTCGACAGACTTTTATTGTATATTCAGTGTTATTAGAATCAAATGCTGAAATCTAGTTCCAATCGAAATAGATACACTGTAATTTCCCTTCTGTGGGCTTGGTACTTTTTATTTTTCTAATTCTCATAACTGTTCAATTCAAAACTTTCTTTGAAGGCAGTTTCTAACAGGATCTTTCCAAGGCAAATGCTGGATTACAAAACTGGATGTCATTTTCTTCTTCTTATAGTCATTTATAATATTTGTTAATGTTATCTAGAGCAACATTTCAGGGTTCTTTAATTAAATGAACTTAATAAAGTTCGTTAATGTCTGATTCATTTACATCTCTAATTTTATAATTTTCTTGACCTGGTGGGAAAAAAAAAAGAGAACAAGATTAGGTCCTTTGAGTTATTACCTTTGCAGTAACAGATTCGACTAATCTTTAGTCATTGGGTTGATTTGTAGTGGAAGATTATCCTAATAAAAGAAACTCCATTAATGCTATATGGCAGTACAAACTATAGACGGACTACTAGAAAGTCAGAAGTATCTTCAGTGAATGTTCATTTTGTCCATTCCAATTCTCTTATTAAGTTAATATCTGCTGGAAAAACCTCTATATAAGTAAGGCAGTAACTGGAACGAGGATCCACTGAAATTCCTGCAGTTCATATAGACTGTTACTATCCATGGCATCCATCACCTCCACAACAAGTGTGAGGTTGAAGCTTCTGGTTGATATAAAAGGCCAGAGGGTAAAGATTTTGTTGATTTTCTGTTGTCATTGCCGGTTAGCATTGTTAAAGGCTGCTTACAAAACAGGGCATGGTGGGTTGCCATGGAAACCTTTGCCAGAGCATTGAAAATATGCTTGATACTTACATTGAGCCTACAACAAACAAGGATACCCATGGAGTAAATGTTCCTCTCTTGTTGCCAAACATTCTATCATAAAAAACTGGCAACTTTTATCGGTTCAGTAATACAAGTAACAGTTTATCCAAAAAAAAAAACGAAAAAAATAACAAAAATACATCCTTCAGTCATGTCAAATGTTATACCTATATTGCAAATGATCCAACATCAACCTGCCCTTGTCAACTGTTATGTCAAATGTTCCTGCAAAGAGGCCATCACCTGCGCTGCAACATCTGTAAACCCCCCCAGAAAAGGTTTTCAGCTTCATTTGCTGCAAATGAGGGTGGCTATATTAAAGGAGTTGCCACTTATATGATCATGGATGATCTGGTGGTAAGCCCCCTTGTCAACTATTTCAAGTATAACTGCTAAGCTTAACAAGTTGAATGATAAAGAGGTTGGGGCTTTGAAAGAGAGTGATTGATGTAGCCATGAATGATGCGAGCATCGTTATCCCATTTTGTGGCCTAAATCTTTAACCCTTCTTTCATTGCTTTGGTTTGGATTTTGTTTCAGGGTGTGGAATTACTTAAGGCATTGCGGCAGTCTAAGTCTGTGCTTACTGACGTATTCCTTACCCAAAAGGCATTGCTGCAGTTGTTCCAAATGCTTGATGCTTCTGCTGCTGCTGCTTTAATTGGTAGTCTCTTTACAAATTACAAGTGCTTGCTATTTTGATGTAGAGACATGGTTGTTAAATATGTTGATTGGTCAAGTTTTTTTTTGTTAGTGTTATAATCTATTATATTATCATATTAATATTGTTTTGAAATAATTGTGGTTTGGAATTGACAACTGACCTTTTCCAATTGGCAGTGCTAAACTTGGTATATGTAAAGAGCTTGCACAAGCCAACAAAAGGCTTTCAACAACCCTTTTTCATCATATACAGTTTCATCATGAAAATGATAGTTTCAAGAAGAAATACTTCAATGAGGGAAGGAAGCAATGCTGTAGAGTTTAAGATGCTGTATTTTGTAAAATAGTACCACAAAGTGAGAGTTGCAGGTTTTAAGAGTAGAAGATAGAGGAGCAGAATCCCATACTTCAAAGTAAACAGCAAGCGCAACCCAATTGACTTCAATAAATAAAGCGGAGATGAAAGGGTTAGACTCACGGAGCCGTGCGGTGGGCACAGAGCGAACTATTCTTTCGCCTTTTACTAAAGAATACCGTGTGTTCGCCGCTAAAAGCGGCATACGCTAATTTTTGGAGGGCTGATTCAATTATGAGTTAGCCCATCAATTCTGAGTATAAATTTGTTTGTAAAATTAATTTTAAGGCTTAAATTTTAATGTTATTTTAATGTTGCAAGGAGGGAAAAGATTTTCTCTAAAATTAAGATTCTAAAATATAATGGAATTTAATAGAAAATTTGATAAATTAAAAGAGTTGTTTAATCTTTATCTTTATCTAATGTTCATGTAAATTTAAAATTTAATAGGGGCAGAATACTAGGTTGGACTCATATTATGAACGAAATATAAAGTAGTCTTATTTGCAATGGATCTTTACTCCTTGATAACTGCCACAGAAAAATTCTCTGGAAAGTCCCATTTCTTCATTCAATAATGTTTAGTCATGACTTCCACCATTTTACCCTGTAATATCTCCTGCTGAAAAAAACTTTTCACTATCATTGTAATTTCAATGTTGCAGCCTAAATTTTTAAAATGGCTGTTAGTTTCCCACGTCAACTTCCATCCCACATCGTTGAATATTGAAGCCACCGGTCAGGATTAGGGAAGGAATTTTGAGTTTTGCCCAACGCCACATGGCTTTGTAAGCAGTCACTCGTAGCCATCGCCGGATGTGTCTGGCCATTTTTGTTTATTTAAGTGCCAATAAAACATAAGGTTTAAATTATTTTATTTTATTTTTTGTTTTTGGCCTAACGTTTTCATTTGTTTTTTTTTTAATTATTGTTTTATACACTAATGAGTGTTTTTAAATTTTACAAAAATAAGATTAAAATATTTTTATGCGTAATTTCATTTATCATCTTTATCTATTAATTTCTTTTCAATATGCTTTAGTGAAATATATATTAATTTTTTAACTTTGTTAAAAATTTAAGATTCGATCACAAATTGTACGAACTCTGGATAAAAACTATGATATTTAATATTTTTAGAGTTTTTTTTTTTTACATTAATAATAGAGTATTTAGTTTCGGGTTTAAAATATTGTTATGTGCATTTAATTTTTTTATTTTTTTATCGATTTTTTAAATACATTCTAATGAGATGTGTCAATCTTCTAATATCATTTATTGTATTTAAAATTTTCATTTACGGCATATTTTTTTTATATTATTTAACTTTTTACTCAAATAAACAAAGAGCTGAGTTTTTTACATGTTTTATAGTAAATTATTTTGGGAATTTAAAAAAAAAAACAAGTATTAAATTTAATTGTTTTTAATGTCTAATAAGTGGTATGGCATGAAACATTAATGCATTATCTAAGAAATCATTTTTAAGAAATGTAAATACTATAATAAGAATTTGGTATAATATTGAAAAAATTCCCATTGAAAATTCATAGTCCGAAGAACTTATGCAAATTAAATAATATGCTTTTATGGTTGATATTTGGAGTTCAACATAAATAAAGCAGGGTCTAAATTCTAGTACAAATTGACCATTCATCAAGCAAATTACTTCAAACTGCAAGTTGTGTTTTAGTTATCTGTTCCAGGTTTTGATTTTTGAACATTGAAGGACAAAAAGAATGATAGGCAGATGGTACAGATTTCCAAAGTGTACTAATTGGGGGCTGTGATCTCATGCCAGATTCATTGTGTTGAAAACCAGTTATAAATAGATTATTATTGGGAAGTCCTAAGTTTCCTTGAAAATAAAAAAGAAAAAATTTTATCTTTATATACTGTGGCCATTCCAATTCTCTATGGCCCTTGATTACTGCCAATGAACCTCTATATAAGCCATAGATTCTGCATTATGTCAAGTCAGTAACTGTATTGAAAAACTCTCAAAAACCCAGTTTTTTACAATAGTGTTTCTGTCATGGCTGCTGCCAGAGTTACCTCGAAGCTTCTGATAGACCAAAAATCCCAAAGAGTTCTGTTTGCAGAAGCTGGCAAAGACTTTGTTGATTTTCTCTTCAACATGCTGTCATTGCCTGTTGGCACTGTCATAAGGCTTCTTACTAAACAAGGAATGGTGGGGTGCCTTGGAAATCTTTATGGCAGCATTGAAAATTTGGATGATACCTACATGCAGTCACCAGCAAACAAAGACACCCTTTTGAAACCTTTAGTTTCTAACTTTGCTGCTCGTGTACTTCTTTTGTTGCCTAACATCAACATGCAATCATCAACATCCAACGGCCTTTATAGGTGTCGCAATACCAACTGTCGCATGTATGTGGCAAACGATCCAAAATCTACTTGTCCTTCTTGCGACAATGTTATGAACCAAAACGTAACTTTTGTTAATCCGACAAACAAGGCCTCGTCCTCGGGTGAGGGAGGTTACGTGAAGGGAGTTGTTACTTATATGATCATGGATGATCTGGTGGTGAGGCCTATGTCAACTATTTCTAGTATCACTTTGCTCAACAGGTTCAATGTCAAGGATGTAGGGGTTCTTGAAGAGAGAGTCATTGATATGGGAATGGATGAGGTCAAACATCCCTTTCCTCTAGCTATTAAATTTCAAGTGTGAGACTATTTCTTTTCTTAATAACGTTGGTTTAAACTTGCTTTGTGCAATAGGGAGTGAAATTGCTGAGGGCATCGATGCAGTCCAGGACTGTGCTTACTGAAGTGTTCCTTGGGAAGAAAGTCACCAAGTGATTCTGTCTACTTCATGTCACTTGCATCTATGATTCAGGAAATGCTGGTTGATTTAGATTTGCAGACAATAAGAGTCTTAGTGTAGGAGTAGATACTTGTCGGTTTATGCTCAAAGTTCAAAGTTGTAGCATTTCATATAGACTTGTATTGTACTTTTTCTTATGTTAACTTGTGAACAATTTTATTATCTTTAGTGTTCATTAATTTGAGCATTCATTTAGCTAATTAAAAAATACAACGCCCTGAATTAATGACTGGCTAATCATCTTTGAAGCCTTTCAACATTAATTTTTAAGCTTTAATCTATGGTCTAAGAAAAATATGTGAAGAGTTCCCTTTTAACTCATGTCAGCTCTATCAAGTAGTGGAAAGATATCCCTTGCAACTCATGGCAGCTCTCTCTGTCTGAGACCAAATGAAGAAAAGTAGAGGTGTGATATATTTGCTTTGCCATTCTAACTACTGATAGTCCTTGGTTGCTTTCAATAAGTTTGAAACTCCGCAAAATTTGACAAGACACCCTTTTGAAGCCAATGGTTCTAACTATGCTTCTAATGTACCTGTCTTGTTTCCAAACATGCATCATCAAACGTCCAACATCCTTAATAGGTGTAGCTACGGTCACAAAGCCAACTGTCCAAATTTTGTGACAAATGATTCTTAACCAATTTGCCCTGCCTCCAACCATGTTATGACCCAAATCGCGACCGTTGTTAAATCACCAACAAAGCAGGATTCATCCTGTGATGGAGGAGGTTATGTCAGGGGTTATTACTTACATGATCATGGATGATCTGGTTGTTTAACACAGAATAATACTTTCCATGGCAACCAACAATGTGAGCTTGAAGCATCTGGTAGATACCAAAGGGCAGAGGGTTTTGTTTGCAGAAGCTGGCAAAGATTTTGTTGATTTTCTCTTCTACATGTTCTCTCCAACAGGGCATGGTGGGTTGCCTTGGAAACCTTTACGACAGCATAGAAAATTTGACTGATACTTAAAGTTTCAAGCTATCTCGTTGAAACCTAAAGTTTCAACAAAAACAGGGAGTTGAAACCTAAAGTTTCAAGCTATAGAGCAAATGTAACTCTCTTGTCGCCAAACGTTCAATCATCAACTTCTGGCAGAATTTACCGGTGTTTGAGTACTTATAATGCCAACTGCCGATGTTATTATGAAAATGATCCAACATCTATTTGCCCTACTCACTCTAATGTCATGAACATCCCTGCAACATTTATAAACCCAATCCCCAAAAAAGGTTTCAACTTCATCTGCTGCAAATGAGGATGATTATGGCTTTTTCAAAAACCCTTTTCATCATATATGGAAGACACCGGTCTGTCAGGACAAGGGAAGGAGTTTTCAACTTTTACCCAATCCCACATCGGCTTTCGAAGCCTACAACTGCTATATATGGACGCAAATGACTTTGCAAAAGCCGTACCACTAGACCTGGTTTAGCTTCCGCAAAACACTGACACACTAATGGTGCGTATTCGGCTACTTTTAAGTAATAATGATGCGTATTCGGCTACTGTTAAGTAAGAATGTTGGCTCGGCTCGGACTTATCAATCACGTGGATGGCCTTACTTACATAGGAAACAATAAAACTTCAAATATATTTATTTGGCTTTGTAGATTTTAATCATTGTTAAATTCAAAGATGTTTGCAGGAAAAGTGATTCTTTTAGCATGACATTCTTTCATTTCTAACATCAGCTCTAAACTTGCTGTGTGCAATGGGGTGTGAAATTGCTAAAGGCATCGATGCAGTCCAAGACGGTGCTAACTGATGTTTTCCTTGAGAAGAAGATGTTGAAAGCTGTCTTACAGTTGCTTTCGAGCGTTAGGAACTTCTGTTTGATTCTGATTTGCAGATAGTTTTATGATTCCTAAATGGCATAGCAGGGGATGCTCATTGTTAAGTAGCAGTTCATATGAGAATTGCTATGTGCCTTCTGTTTATCAATGGAGGATTATTTATTGATCTTTATCTGGGTTTTAGGGACTGAAGCTATTTACTAGTAAATCCTTTTATCATTCATTAAGCCATGATTCATTTCTTTATTATAGCATCACTTCACTACAACAATCAGTACTTTAAAAAAAAAACAGAAAATATATAGAGTAGGCCTTTGAACTTATGTCCCTGGAACCATTTTTGGGTTAGTATTAATATGGAAGCTTGACAGTAAACATAAGCTGTTTTGTTCTTCCTTGTTCACTTAATTTAGCATTAATGAAACAAGTTTCAGATAGGTTTAGCCCAAATGACTGATTCCATCATCTTTGAAGCCGAAAAACCAGCACCTGTTTCAAAGTATAAAAGGCTTAAACCTTAATTTATATATATACTTCTATAAGTAAACTCTGGGTTTAATCATTTTGAATCCAATTTTAACAAACTTTCAAGTAACATTGAAATATTTGTACAATTGAACCAATGGATTAGTTCAGTTGATTTAAGAGCTACATTTAAAAGTTGATATCTTTCAGATGCAGAGTTCAAATCATACTTATAATCCACCAAGTTCAAAGTTTAGTACTTACAAACTTTTTTCCTATCTTAAAAAAAAAATTAGTACATTTAAAGAATTTAAACCTGGAAATTTGGAGTATCCAACTGGGAAATGGAACATCTTGCCAGTGTTCTTCTAATTGTATTGTCTGCAGATGATTTTGCTTTTCATTTGATATCGAATAGTGAATTCTCTTAATTATTTCATAAAATCAAATTTTAAACCAAGGGTGTCAAAATAAATCTATTGACCATTTTAAGCTATATAACTGAAATCTTCTGAACTTCAATCTTGGGTCTAAATGACAGTACTTTCATTTCTTCAGCTTGAAGGAAAAAAAAGCAGTCTGGTTAAGCCATTCGTGGTACTTGGAAACATGAAACAAAAGTGAAATATCCTTTGTTCAAGACCCTTACAACTTCAAAAGGTGCCAAAAGAGTGAATTATTGAGGGTACTATACTTGAATACCAGGTAATCCGTTTCTGTTTTTAAAGTTAAATGTCATTTATTCAAGAACCTATAGAAATTCAGATTCTTGAAAAAGAATGTACTAGGAAATCCTTTTCCTTTTGCATGTTGCATCAAGCAAATGGCAAACATGATGTGGTGGTAAAAGAATTCATTATGACGTTTTTCTTGCTTTATTTTCATTTTCATTTTCATTAAAGTTCAATGGCTCGCATTTATTAAAAATGGAAGAGCAGAAATTTCTTTTTAGCTCAAAAAAATGCCATTCACCCAACTTTTAATTTGTTTCCTTTTTTTTTTTTTTTTTCACTTAAAACATTCTATACGGGGGACGATGGACATGCACACGTAAGGTGTCCATGAACACCTGAATATTGAATAATAAGAAAATTTGAAAAAAAAATTTCTTCCACATCCTCAAAATTTTTCATGAACACCATTTTTATCCATAAATTTGATAAATCCATCAATAATTATATATACACATATATATCGCAAAAAAAAAAAAAAAGCATCTATCACTTTCTATAGGGTCCTTAAACGCGAAGGAACCATTTATCTGTTTAAGCTTTAGATATTCTTCTCCACGCTCCACCAGGAAAATGTCATGAAGAGAAAAGAGAGAAAATTGAGACTACGAAACCAGCATACCAGAATTGAGCTTGGAACAAGACTCTGTATCAATGGTAGCCACCGAAGGCAAAGTCTTGATATCATTTTTACAATAATGTCAAATACTTAAAAATCTCACACTATACTTCTACACAACATTTTCTTACAACAGTTTTCAAACGCATGTGTATTTACATATATATATTTCAAGCCAAACAGCACCAAACTACGCCTAATCAGAGTAGTCTGTGTCATTATCAACTGGCCAAGGGTAGTCGTCATAGTCATAAAGTGTTGAACCCTCGCACTTGAATTTAGTGATGAATGAAGCTAACTTTAATATCTCATCATCATCCTCGTCAAAGCCTATGCAGTCGCGGACATCTAAATGGACAAGTTGCTTGCAGCCTTGCAATATTGTCACTAAATTCTCTTGGTACATATGTGCACCTCTAAGAAACAGGTGTGTAATCTTTGGGAGTAAAGTGACAATTGCCATAGCCTCATCTTCCTTAATTAAGGCATTAAAGATACCTAACCCCAAAAGGTTATGGCAGTTGAGGCTGACCTGGGCAAGGACCTCCTTCAAATTGAAGAAACTTCGAAGCAACAAGTACTCCAAGTTCTTGGACTTCTCTATCAGCTCTTGAATAGCGAGTGACTGCTCAAAGCGTATGTCGGCAGGTAGGCCCAGTTGTTTTAAGGCAGAACACCTGGAAAGGAAATTATGAGAAAATTGTTGGGTAAATCCTTGCTTTTTTATTCGTATAAATCCAGCCCTTAATCTGTTATTTGATGTCAAATGAATTCATCTTGAATGGAAAATGCTAACGTGGCTAAAATACTAGATGGCCATGCACATCAGCATTTTCGATCCAAATTAGGTGCATTAGATACCAAATAATAGACTGAATGTTCAATTTCGTAGGGAAGATTAACAATGTTCGAGGAATTAATAAAAAATAATTGTTGCAAAATCGACTCATAATCTAGCATAAAAAACTTACTTATCTGCAACATACTTCAATGCCTCTTCTGAACAGCCTTCTGGGAGAAAAAGGGTAGTAGCATTTCCATGGCTTCGATCCACTATGGACTTTATGAATGCGGTAACAGAGAATTTCTTAATTTGATATGTATCCATCAATCTTTCTCGAAATGTATAATCCAAATCAAACCGATCATCTTTAATTTTAGGAAAAATCAGAGTCTTCCAGCACATAGGATTAAGGCTGGCTCTATGCCATGACTTGCACACAAAAGGTACATACAACAGCAGTGACTCCATGCCCACTCTTCCAAGCACATTGATCAAACAATCTGTTTCCATATCCTTCCAATTTCTTTGTTGTTCTATATTTAGTTAAGTAACAAATAGAAAGTTGTTTAATTTTATAATTAACCAGAAGAACTAAATCTAAAATTATTATCCCATAATGTGTAATATTGCAGGGTTTTACAATTAAATAATATGTATTATAATTATGTATTACAATTAACTAGTCTAACTTATAGTAACAGTACTGTCTTTGGATTGAGAGAAACATAAAAGTAAAAAAAAAACTAAATGGTAAAAAAAATATTTGAACTTTAATTAAAAAATCATCAAGTTCTTATTTTTTATTGCAATTGATCAATCTCTCTAATATTTATAAAAAAAGGAAAATTGAACAAATCCATGTTGGGCACATAACCTATATCCAGCACTCACCTCGAACTCGAAAATATATATGTATATATATGAACTCAGGGCATGCATATCTCTACAAATTCATACAACTAAGGTCAAAAACTAAATATCTTTGGTGCAGTACTCGTACAATTTAAAATCATGTTAGTAAATTTAGTATTACATACATTTCTCCAGAAGGCCATACCATATTGAGTAATTTATTTGTGCGTTTCTTCCCCGAAGATTCAATCGATTATATTTTTCAATATGATCCAAAGCATCCTTTTATCAAATGTCAGATTCTGTTAACCGCCAACCTCAACAAAAATTGAATGAAATGATTTGTTTGGTCTAATAATTCCCACATCATAACATAGCTCTAATATTAATTCTGATAACAAATCTCTAACCATTTGCATAACAATTATAGAAGTGGTATGCATCATCAAAAGATTCCAACTCCATACCTTCAATCCTTTCCTCAATATCATTTGTTGCATCACTTGGTTGGCTATGTTCAAATGATAGCTCATTATCAAGTAAACCATCCATCTAAATTTGCAAAATAAGTACAGGCGATTAGTATTAATATAGAAAAGATGTTTAAAATTTAAAGTTATCCAAGAAAAGTTCATAATTTAGCTCAAGTGAATCTTAGATGAATTCAAGGGAAAGTGAAGCAACAAGCTATTATTACCAAGAATTACTTGGTTATCTAAATAAATGCTCTATGCCTCTATTATTTTATTTACAATTATTAGGCTTTCATATTTGTCTAAAACAACAGGCTTTTTTTTAATAGAATTGAAAAAAAAATAAAGAAATGATTAAAAAAAACCTTGTATGAGAAAGAAAAATAACGTACCCTTTCACCGGAAAATTCCTCTCTGTTGAGGTTGTTAATGGTGGTGGTTTGGATTGGCGGAAGGTGAGTAGAGGTTGTGGTGTTTTGAGGGTGATGTTCGGCCAAGGTGCCGTTGGCTTCAGATGATGATGATGATGATGATAGATGTTGGAAATTTTTTAAGTTTAGTTGATTCTAGACCATTTTTATACCGGCTATGGTTGAAGGGTCGGATTCTTCTATGGCCCAATCAACTGCATTAAAGTGCTCTCAATTTGGTAAAAATATTAAAGTAATGATTTTAGAAAATATTAATATTAAATGTTTTAATGTTATATATTATTAAAAATAAATATTTTTAATATTTCAATTATAATTGTTTTGAGTGTTTTGAGGTGTGAAGTTGAGACTTTTACACATTGTATACTGAAGCTTAGTGCAGCTTCTTGCCCTTTATGGTCCAATGCCTTTTGAAGATCTGTTGGGTAAACACTTGCATACCTTCTGCATTTGAAGGTCTATCTAGGGTCCTTTGACTATAGTAATGTCCAAGTAGGATGGCCAAAAACTGGTTTTCTCACCTTTCTCTTTGGTTTGTTTAAAACAAAAGATGATTTTGTTGCAGGTGGTTCATTGAATGTTCTTTTTACTTTAATCATTGTCAATGAGCTGCAAAATATTAAAATTTTACTCAGCAAATTTATCCTTCCTTGTTTTACCTCATCTTTGTGAATGTATAGCTAGATGTCATGATAATTTGTCACGGGTCGAGACTTAAGCTTCGAATTCGTATGGTTCGAGACTCGGGTATTCACCTTTCTGACATCCTAGATCAACCTTCCACCACAGTTCACACTCTTGTGAGGTATTGTCCGCTCTGACCCTCTGACCTCACGATTTTATCCTACAAAAGACGTCTCACAAGACGAAGATAGTGTGAACATTTTTATACCCCCGTGATCCTCTTATTATGTTCGATGTGGGATTCAGGACTATTCCTTAGGTCCGTGACATTCTCCTGCACTCAATCTCGTGACGCCCTCGTCACGGAGGCTGGCCACCCTGTCGGTTCACATCCTTATGAGGTATTGTCCGCTCTGGCCCCTGACCTCACGGTTTTGTCCTACAAAAGGCGCCTCATAAGACGAAAATAGTGTGAACCCTTTTATACCCCAGTGATCCTTCTATTATATTCGATGTGAGATTCAAGACTCTTCTTTAAGTCCGTGACAAATTCACCTGGATGTACAGCACCGCAATACCATCGAAACCGATAATCATTTTTTTCGACAGACTTTTATTGTACATTCAGTGTTACTAGAATCAAATGCTGAAATCTAGTTCCAATCGAAATAGATACACTGTAATTTCCCTTCTGTGGGCTAGGTACTTTTTATTTTCTAATTCTCATAACTGTTCAACTCAAAACTTTCTTTGAAGGCAGTTTCTAACAGGATCTTTCCAAGGCAAATGCTGGATTCCAAAACTGGATATCATTTTATTCTTCTTATATTCATTTATAATATTTGTTAATGATATCTAGAGCAACATTTCAGGGTTCTTTAATTAAATAAACTTAATAAAGTTCGTTAATGTTCGGTTCATTTGCATTTCTACTTCTATAGTTTTCTTCACCTGGTGAGAAAAAAAAAAGAAAACAAGATTAGGTCCTTTGAGTTATTACTATTGCAGTAACAGATTCGACTAACCTCTAGTCATTGGGTTGATTTGTAGTGGAAGATTATCCTAATAAAAGAAACTCCATTAATGCTACATAGCAGTACAAACTACAGATGATTAGTGGAAAGTCAGAGGTCTCTTCAATGAATGTTCATTTTGTCCGTTCCAATTCTCTTATTAAGTTAATATCTGCTAGAAAAACCTCTATATAACTAAGGCAGTAACTGGAACAAGGATCCACTGAAATTCCAACAGTTCATACAGACTGATACTCTCCATGGCATCCATCACCTCCACAACAAGTGTGAGGTTGAAGCTTCTGGTAGATATAAAAGGCCAGAGGGCAAAGATTTTGTTGATTTTTTCTCGTCATCGCCGGTTAGTCCTGTTAAAGGCTGCTTACAAAACAGGGCATGGTGGGTTGCCTTGGAAACCTTTGCCAGAGGATTGAAAATTTGCTTGATACTTACATTGAGCCTACAACAAACAAGGATACCCTTGGAGCAAATGTTCCTTTCTTGTTGCCAAACATTCAATCATCAAAAACTGGCAACTTTTATCGGTGTAGTAATATAAGTAATAGTTTATCCAAAAAATAAAAGAAAAAAATAACAAAAATACGTCCTTCAGTTATGGTAAATGTTATACCTATATTGCAAATGATCCAACACCAACATGTCCTTCCTGCAAAGAGGCCATGACCTGCGCTGCAACATCTGTAAAACCCCCAAATAAGGCTTCATTTTCATCTGCTGCAAATGAGGGTGGCTATATTAAAGGAGTTGTCACTTGTGTGATCATGCATGATCTGGTGGTAAGCACCCTTGTCAACTGTTTCAAGTATAACTAGTATGCTTAACAAGTTGTATGATAAAGAAGTTGGGGGCTTTGGAACTTAGTGATTGATGTATAGCCATGAATAAGGTGAGCATCGTTATCCCATTTTGTGGCCTAAATCTAAGTCTCTGCTTACTGATATATTTCTTATCCAAAAGGTCGGAAGGAATTGTTCAAAATGATCATGAACATGATGCTTGATGCTTCTGCTTCTGCTTCTGCTGCTGCTGCTGCTTTATTTGGTGGTCTCTTTACAAATTACAACTGCTTGCTGTTTTGTTGTAGAGATATGGTTGTTATATGTGTTAATTTGTCAAGTTTTTGTTTGTTAGTGTTATAATCTATTATATTATCAGATTAATATTGTTTTGAAATAATTGTGGTTTGGAATTGGACACCCGAGCTTTTCCAATTGCAATGCTAAACTCCTATTATGTTCGATGTAGGATTCATGACTCTTTCTTAGGTCCGTGACATTCTCCCGCACTCAACCTTATGACGCCCTCGTCACGGAGGCTAGCCATCCTGCCTACCTCCCTCGAGGTACTTGACGTGGATCGAACGGTTTAGGGCTGGCTCTGATAGCACTTGTCACGGGTCGAGACTTAAGCCCCACACCCGTGCGGCTCCGGGACACGGGCATTCACCCTTCCGGCGTCCCAAATCAGCCTTCCTGTCACGGCTTGTCACGGGTCGAGACTTAAGCTCTGAACTCGCGCGGCTCCGGGACCCGGGCATTCATCCTTCCGGCGTCCCAGATTAGCCTTCCTACCACGGTTCACACCCTTGTGAGGTATTGTCCGCTCTGGCCCCCCTAGCCTCACGGTTTTGTCCTACAAAAGGTGCCTCACAAGGCGGAGGTGGTATGAAATCCTTATATACCCCAATGACCCTCCTATTATGTTCGATGTAGGATTCATGACTCTTCCTTAGGTCCGTGACATTCTCTCGCACTCAACCTCGTGACGCCCTCGTTACGGAGGCTGGCCACCCTGCCTACCTCCCTCGAGATGCTTGGTGTGGATCGAACGGTTTAGGGCTGGCTTTGATACCACTTGTCACGGGTCGAGACTTAAGTTTCGAACCCGCGCGGCTCCGGGACTCGGGCATTCACCCTTCCGGTGTCCCAGATCAGCCTTCCTGTCACGGTTCACACCCTTGAGAGGTATTGTCTGCTCTGGCCCCCCCTGGCCTCACGGTTTTGTCCTACAAAAGGTGCCTCACAAGGTGGAGGTGGTGTGAAATCCTTATATACTCCAGTGATCCTCCTATTATGTTCGATGTAGGATTCAAGACTCTTCCTTAGGTCCGTGACATTCTCTCGCACCCAACCTCGTGACGCCCTCGTCACGGAGGTTGGTCACCCTGCCTACCTCCCTCGAGGTGTTTGGCGTGGATCGAACGGTTTAGGACTGACTTTGATATCACTTGTCACGGGTCGATACTTAAGCTCTGAATCCGCACGGCTCCGGGACTCGGGCATTCACCCTTCTGACATTTCCAGATCAGCATGACCACCACGGTTCACATCCTTATGAGGTATTATCTGCTCTGGCCCCTGGCCTCACGATTTTGTCTTACAAAAGATGCCTCACAAGGCGGAGGTGATGTGAAATCTTTATATATTCCAATGACCCTCCTATTATGTTCGATGTGAGATTCAAAACTCTTTCATAAGTTCATGACACTTGCACAAGCAACCAAAAGGTTTTTAACAACCCTTTTCATCTCAGACAGTTTCATCATGAAAATGATAGTTTCAAGAAGAAATACTTCAACGAGAGAAGCGAAGAAATGCTGTGGAGTTTAAGGTACTGTATTTTATAAAATAGTACCATAAAAGTGGAGAATTGCAGGTTTAAAGAGTAGACGATAGAGAAGAGCAGGATCCCCTATTGCTAAGGAAACAGCTAGCGCACCCCAATTGACTTACATAAATAAAGCGCAAATAGACATTTTTAAAGCACGGAGCCGTGCGGTGGGCACAAAGCGAAGTATTCTTTCGCCTTTTACTAAAGAATACCGTGTGCTCGCCGCTAAAAGCGGCATACGCTAATTTTTGGAGGGCTGTTCCAATAGTGAATTAGCCCGTCAATTCTTAGTTAAAAAATTGCGTGTTTTAAGTTTTAAATCTACACATTATAAAACTATTTGTGAGTGAAAAAGGGTCACTAATTGAACGTGATTAAAGTTTAGTAAATAACAGTTAAATTGACGCCAGGGGTTTTAATCTTTAAATTGTCAGGTAATTAAATTTAAATATTTCCTAAAAGTATATGCTAAATTTGGGAACTCAGAATCTAAATCTTCAAAGTAATCAGGGGCAGAGCACAAGGTTTGGCTTCATGTTTTGAACCAAATATACGGTTAGTCTTATTTGCCACAGAAAAGTTATCTGAAAAGTCCCATTTCTTCATTCAATAATGTTTAGTCATGACTTCCACCATTTTACCCAGTAGTATCTTCTGCTGAAAAAAACTTTTCACTATCATTGTAATTTCAATGTTTGCAGCCTAAATGTTTAAAATGGCTGTTAGTTTCCCACGTCAACTTCCATCCCACATCGTTGAATATTGAAGCCACCGGTCAGGATTAGGGAAGGAATTTTGAGTTTTCGCCCAATCCCACATGGTTTTGTAAGCAGTCACTGGTAGCCTTCGCTGGAGGGTGTCTGGCCATATTTATTTATTTATTTACTTATTTTTTTTATCTTTCATCAGTGCCAATAAAACATACGGTTTACATTATTTTATTTTATTTTTTGTTTTTGGCCTAACGTTTTACATTGTTTTTTTTATTGTTATTTTATACACTAATGAGTGTTTTTAAATTTTACAAAAATAAGATTAAAATATTTTGACGCGTAATTTTATTTTTCATCTTTATCTATTAATGTCTTTCAATATGCTTTAGTGAAATATGTATTAATTTTTTAACTTTGTTAAAAATTTAAAATTCGATCACAAATTGTAAAACTCTGGATAAATATTATGATATTTAATATTTTTAAAATTATTATTTTCTACATTGATAATAGAATATTTAGTTGCGGGTTTAAAATGTTGTTATGTACATTTAATTTTTTTTATTTATTTATCAGTTTTTTAAATACGTTCTAATGAGACGTGTCAATCTTCTAATTAAGTAGTGGAAAGAGATCTTTAGAAGCTCATGTCAGCACTATCTGTCTGAGACCAAATGAAGAAAAGTAGAGTTGTGATATATTTGCTTTGCCATTCTAACTCCTATTAGTCCTTGGTTGCTTTCAATATAGTATAAACTCCGCAGATTTTGACAAGACACCCTTTTGAAGTTTATGGTTTCTAACTATGCTGCTAATGTACCTGTCTTGTTTCCAATCATGCAATCATCAAACATCCAACAATCTTTATGGGAGTAGCTACGGTCACAAAGCCAACTTTCGAAATTATGTGACAAATGATTTGAAACCCATTTGTCCTGCCTGCAACCATGTTTTGAGCCAAATTACGACCGTTGTTAATGCACCAACAAAGCAGAATTCATCCTGTGATGGAGGAGTTATGCCATGGATGATCTTTTGTTTCATACAGAATAATACTTTTCATGGCAACCACCAATGTGAGCTTGAAGCTTGTGGTGGATACCAAAGGGCAGAGGTTTTTGTTTGGAGAAACCGGCAAAGATTTTGTCGATTTTCTCTTCGACAGGGCATGGTGGGTTGCCCTGGACCTTTACGACAGCATAGAAAATTAGAGTGATACTTAAAATTCAGCCAACAACAAACAAGGATACCTTGTTGAAGCCTAAGGTTTCAATCTATGGAGCAAATGTAATTCTCTTGTTGCCAAACATTCAATCATCAACTTCTGCCAGAATTTAATGGCGAGCAAGGTTTTCAAAAACCCTCTTCATCATCGGCATTCGGCTACATTTCTCCGGATAAATTTGATATATTTTAGACGAAAATTATATATTTTAATTTGTGTCAAAAAAATAAAAAATATATTCATGATTTTTATTAAAAATTTAAATTATATTATTTTTATATTTTTTATTCATATCATTTTTAAATTATATTGTTTTATTTCTTTTATTAATATATATATTTTTTATCGTGTTAGTTTTAAATTTTCAAGTATTCTGCAAGAACGTTGGCTCGGCTCGGAGACTTAACTTCAACAACCACGTAGATGGGGCCCTCCGCCCTTACATAGTGACGGCTTTGGCATCATGTAAGCCATTAAATCTTGTATAAGAGCCAAAGTCCCGTAGGGTCTTGTCTAGCGACTCGCTAATTTCTCTGCGAAGTGAGCCCATGAGTTAGCCAGCTTCTGAATTTCTCTCCTAGCCTTAGCCGGGGTGGTGTCGGGCCTTTTTTTTTTTTCATTTTTTTTCATTAATGACTAACTTTTTTTAGTTTCATACACGAGTGATGGAATTATTAAAATTCACAATGGATGTTAAAATGCTTTCATGTGTCATTTTATTTATCATCTTTAATTATTAATTTGTTTAAATATTCTTTAAAAGAATATCAATGAACCTTTTAATTTTGTTAAAAATTTAAGATGTACAAATTTTGATACTCTCAATAAAGATAAAAATTATTATATAAATTAATTTTAAAATTATTGTTTTATATAGAGATAATAGACTTTTTAAATTCTATAAGAGATTGAAAATGTTGTTAAGTGTTATTTTATTTATCGAATATAGTTATTTATTAATTTTTTTTAAGTATATGATAAATTTTTTATATTGCTTAACCTTTTTCTCACTTTTTTTGCAATGAATTTTTTTGAGAATATATACAATAAAAAAAGCAGCGAATTTAATTGTTTTTGATATCTAATAAATGGTGTGATATCAAAATCAGCATGGATGAGGTAATGTTTGATCTTTAACTTTAATTATTACCCTTTGTTGGTTAATTAAAAGATTAAACTGGTTTAATTGATGATAACAATATGGTTCTTGATTTGTTTTTTTTCTTTTTTGGGTTAGGGAGTGAAATTGCTCAGGGCATCCTTGCAGTCAAAGACCGTACTTACTGATGTTTTCCTGGGAAATAAGGCTGCTTTTGCTTGATCCACTAGATGAACTCATGAACCTAAGTCTTTATTTTTTCAGCTTTTTTGGTTTATAATGTAACAATTAAGGTGGAATTCAGAGTTCTAATATGTAATGGAATGTTAATTGTGTGTGGGCTTTCTATGAACTAAAATTTACATCCGATGGGTGCTTTTGAGTCATTCAGAAATCTAATTTGTAAGACAGCTTTACCATGTCTGAATCTAATCCTCTTTCTCTTTATAATATGGTAAAATTCAGATATGAGTATGTGAGTAACAAAAGTGCCCTTGAAGGCATGAATGAACTAACCTCAAATTCCAATTTTAAGGAATGATGGGTCAGAATGTGCCAGAAAAATCAAATTCACAAGGCTGAAGGAGAGCTGATATTTCATACTAGAACCAATATTCGTGCTAAAAGCATTTTCTTGACGGAAAATTGCTTTATCAGGGTGATTTGGGGAGTGATTCATTAACAAAAGGAGGAAAAGCCATGGATTCTCAGGCACTTAAAACTTGAAAAAATGTGGAGGAGTAGCCTGTGGACTAGGATAAACAATGATTTCTTTGGTGGGTACTGAGTTTGCAGAACTTGGTTAACAAAATGCATTTTTACCATAGAATAAGCCAGGAATCTGGTACAGAAGTATTAATTTGGGAAAGCAGTAGTTCAATAAAGAAGAAAAACTCAAGGAATAGAGCTATAAACAGCTAATTATTTGAGATTAGAGAGCAGAAAAATCAGAGAAAAGTGATGGAGATGTGTACGACTTGGCAGGAGAACGAGCCACAAGGAAATCGTAGAGTGCATAAAAGTAGAAGCTAGAGGAGCCAAATCCCACATCTCTGAGACAAAAGTAAGCGCACCCCAACCAGCTTGAATAAGTAAAGCACAAATGGCCGCCTTTTTTGTGGGTGGGGTACGAGGATAACAAAACGAGGCGAGCATAAAGCGAGGCTATGGTTTGACTAGGGGAGCATAAAGCTTACTATAGATTTAGCTGACTGTAGTTTTGTAGTTTACTAATAAACTAAGTCTAGTGGTCGATAGAAGTAGCAAAGGTCAATTATTGGAGGGATGTACCTGTGGGAATGGTTCCATAAGCTGTTAGGTTGAAATTCATTAGGGAGAGAGCTGGCATTATCTGTGCCTCGTATATACAGGTATGGAAAAAGTGGGTGTTTTTTCACCAGATGACAGCCACAAAAAGTTGCTTGATGATAGATGAATATGAAAAGATTAGCATAAAATGAAATGAATTGAATCAATGATTAGCAACGATATTGATAGATGCTATTTTACTCTTTCGAAAGACTTCATAATATAATTATGCAGTTGGAAGTCAATTGTATTGGCAAAGAGGTTGAAAAAGGAATTCAATTTGGAACCATTAATCATGGCAAAGTCAAATTTAGTTGAATTGTGTGAGACTTCTGACAAAAGCACCTGATCATTATGAGCTGCTGAAGGAAAGGAAAGAAAAGATTCATACAGGTTCATTGAGACAAGTTTTACATTTGTATGATTTATACCCTAAAGTCTTCACATTGGCTTCTAAATGCAAAACTTTTGGCTTATGGTTTATTCCTTTGCAAAAGAAAAAGGGAAAATTATACAGAATGGCTGCCTCTAACTCTAAGGTGAGCTTGAAACTCGTTATTGACTCCAAGAGTAACAATGTGTCAAAGTCCTCTTTGCTGAAGCCGGGAAAAAATTTTGTAGATTTTCTGATTTTCTCTTTAACCTGCAGATTTTAGAATATTACTGGAACAACTGTCAACAGTAATTAATGAGCAGTGAGGAGCTGATTATAGAGGACAAGCAGCCAGAACAGTTGGATTATGTGCTTCTCCGGATGCAGCTTTTGCTGATTTCCAATAAAAAGGTTTTTAAATGGCAGAGGCAAAACATAATTTACCTTAGGGAATCCATTGAAACGATTCATCTTCTCTATTTGATGAAGCATGCTCAGCTTAGACTATTTATATATGTCAGATTGAACAGAATTTGTTCAGGGACACCTTATTACAATTTTGATAACTGAAAAATTACGGCTGCCTCTAACTCTAAGGTGAGCTTGAAGCTCCTTATTGATTCCAGGAGTAACAAAGTTCTCTTTGCTGAAGCAGGGAAAGACTTTGTAGATTTTCTCTTTGCTCTCCTTTCTTTGCCTCTTGGCACTGTCGTTAGGCCTCTCACAACAAACAACATGGTGGGTTCCCTTGGAAATCTTTATGAGAGTATCGAAAGCCTTAGTGAAACTTACATGCAACCAAACCAAAACAAAGACTCGCTGATGAAGCCCAGAGCTCCGACTTCTGCTTCTGATGTCCCACTCTTGCTTCTTGATGATGATAAACCAGTGACTAGAAAAGTCTACATGTGTCCAAATTATCATCTCAATGTGGTTCATGATCAACGCTTGGTTTGTCCCCAGTGTAAGAAAAGGATTTCTATTGAGGTGCCCATCGTATCTCCAGATGACGCAAATGGGGAATCAACAGGTAAAGAAGGGTCTGTCAAGGGGGCAGTGACTTACATGGTAATGGATGATTTAGCTGTTAAACCAATGTCTACAATTTCCAGCATTACTCTGCTCAACAAGTTCAATGTTAAGGAAGTTGGAGCACTTGAGGAAAGGGCAGTTGATTTGGGAATGGATGACGTTGCAAGCTCTTAGAACTGTCTTTCCTTTCTTCCTTTTTCTATTTCTTTTTGGTATAGAAGCTTAGTTATCTGTTTGTTCTCCATGGTAGGGTTTGAAGCTGCTCAGGTCTTCCTTACAGTCCAAATCAGTCTTAACAAATGTCTTTCTGGGCAATATGAGGGCCTAAAGATGTGGGTTTTGTTTGGAACAGAATGTGTCTTTAACGTTTGTGGCAGAATTTTTTATCCTGTAATGCTTTTGCCTTTATCATTGGGCTGCTTTTGATGCATCTTTTTGAAACTTATGGAGTTTTGTTTGAACGGTTGTTCTCACGTTTTGGATGTTTACCGGATCCCATTTAAATCTGTCATCTAAATAAAGATGACAAAAATAAAATGACGAATTGTTTGTTATTATATCAAACATATTTGAAATAAAATTTTTAATAAAATAATGCCACGAATAACTCGTGAACTATAATGATTTATAATGAAATGTTCAATAAAATATTTGAACTTAAAAATTTTTTATGTAGTACTTGAATTAAGAATATGTTGAATGTGAAGGAGTAGCCTGTGGACTAGGACAAAGAATGATATTCTTTGGTGGGTACTGAGATTGCACAAATTGGTTTACAACATGCATTTTCACCATAGAGTAAGCCAGGAATCTGGTCTAGAAGCATTAATTTGGTGAAGCAGTAATTCAATAAGGAAGAAAAGCTCATGAAAGAGAGCTAGAAACAGCTAATTTTACGAGATTAGAGCGCAGAAAAATACGAGGAAGAGTGATGGAGAAGTGCATGGCTTGGCAGGAAAGTGAACTATCAGGAAATCGTGAAGCACTCAAGATAGCGGAATCCCACATTTCTGAATCAAAAGCAAGCGCACCCAAACCGACTTCCGTAAATGAAGTGCTAATCCCGTTTTTCAGAGCACGGAGCCGTGCTGTGAACACAGAGCGAACTATTCTTTCGCCTTTTACTAAAGAATACCGTGTGTTCGCAGCTGAAAGCGGCATACGCCTATTTTTGGAGGGCTGTTTCTGTGGGAACGGTCCATCAATTACAAGTTAGAACGATTACCGAACCCAGGATAGGCGGGCTGTTTCTACGAAAGATTCCAAAGCATAACAATTCCACGAAAGATTCCAAAGCATAACAAATACCTGATTGGAGGGTTGAGGGTCCATCAAAGAACACTATAAAAGTACATGGAACATTTCGTATGCTTTATTGGCCTGTAAGGGTTTTAGCTTCGTTCTTGTCTCTTTTTCCATCATTTTTTTGTTGGCCTTGTTGAGGCATGGAGCTTACATTTGTGACAAGAATAGCAAAGGAGTTTCTTAGCAGTATTGTTATGGCAGAGGCCGCCTGGTTCGTCATTACAATTTGAATAAGCCCGTTAGTCGATTTCATGTAAAAATCGTTAATGTGTTATATTTCATATTTAATCAAAATTGAAATATATATTTTGTTTTTGTTAAATTTATATAATTTTTATTAAAATTTTAAAATTTTTTATATTATTTTTATATTACATTATTGTATCGGATTGAATTCGAGTTTGACTTCTTAAGGTTGGCAGCATTGGAAACATGTAACAAAGCTTGGGAAACTTAAATGAAGCTTCTTTGCAGCCCAATCAACATAGGAATTTGTTTACTCATGAAACCCAATATGCCACATTTTGTAACTGTTCCTCTTATCTTGCTTAACACTAGTCAATAATAATAATAAAACACTCCGGTCTCAACCATCAATATCTTAAAACAACTTGATTCATCAATAAACAAAAAATCCAAATCCGAAACGATTACATATTTTTGGTTCGCTACTTGGCAAATTGGGCGTTTCCAATGGTAAGACACCAACATAAAGGGGAATAGTAAGTTTCATCATTATCTACATCAAATAAACCATAGTCAAATATCACAAAGCATGTCTTGAACATCAAATGAAGCTTTAGCCAAATAATCAAGGCAACCAAATATTGTTCTTGATCATCATAGGACTAATAATATTGTTGTTATTTAAAAAAAAAAAAGGCTGAAAAAATGCATTTAAAAATATGATAAGAAAAATATAATTAAAAATTTTTAAGTATTTGATATTGTTGTGAAAAAATATTACTGAGTAATTAAAATGTCTAAAAATATTATATAAAAAAATAAAATATTCAAAATGTAAAATATCCCATATACATATTTTTACTGTATAAATACTTTTTGAGAATTTTTAAATTTAAATTAGAAAGTCAAAATTTTAAATTGAAAAAATGATTTTATTTTAATTATTTAGCATTATATTTTAATTAAAAGCTATTTTTAATTGCAATCACGTATTATAGTAGCCGTCGATTATTTTTTGATCAATTAACATATAATTGAAGTTAACATTTAAAAATTACGAGTTTAAGAGAATTTAAATGTGTAATATTTTTGTTAATCAAATATGTAGTAAGATAAAAAATTTTAAGAATAGATTAAAAATTTAAAAAGGAAATCACAAAGCCAAAACATAAATCCTTTATTCTCTCCTTGATTTTCTCCGTTTGGAATTAAAGTAGAATGAGACTACAAAAACTTCTATTTGCTTTATCTTTCCTTTTTATTTTACATCACGATTAGAAAGCCAGAACCTCTTTATTACTTGGCCATTGGATGTAGTTGGTGAGATTGATCTTAGCCATCCAAAATAAAGCCAGAGCCAAAAAGGCTCCACCCCTTGAATTCAATTCACGTGGCACTGTTGGTGGGTGGGGGTGATTGAGCTGAAGAGTCAAGCGTCAAGATCTCCTCCTTTGAAGGTAGGCTTTATGATCAACTCTTGTAAAATATCACATTCTTCTTCTCTGTCATTCTTAGTAGATCATCATTATTTTTAGTTTTTCTTTCATTCCTTTAATATATTATATATATTTGCTAAATATATCTTGTTTGCATGGAGCTATATTTTTGACTGCATGAACCATTTGACCTAAACCTAAGATTGGGGTTCCATGGAGCCTATATTTGTGATAAGAATGGCAAACTAATTAGTAAAACTTTTTATGTTTCTCAGCTGTATCAATGGCAGAGACCAAGCTAAGCTTGAAGCTGTTGATTGATAAAAAAGCCAAAAAAGTTCTCTTTGCTGAAGCCGGAAAGGAATTTGTGGATTTCCTGTTCTACCTCCTTTCCTTGCCTGCAGGTACTATCATCAGTCTGCTCAAAAGTGATAATATGGTTGGTTGCATAGGAAACCTGTACGACAGCCTGGAAAATCTAAATGAAGCTTATCTGCAGCCCAATGAACATAAGAATTTACTCTTGAAACCCTATACGCCAGTTGTTGTTCCTCTCCTGTTGCCTGACACCAGTAAAGATCGAGAGGAGAAACAACTTTATGGTTGTTCCAACCATCCTTACATCTACGTGACAGATCATCGAAACAATTCATGTCCTCAATGCAAACACCCAATGTCTAATAAAGTGACTTTTGTAAGTTCGAATTCTCATAAACAAGGTTCAGCAAGTGAGGGAGGTGTTGTGAAGGGCTTGGCTACATACATGGTAAAGGATGATTTATCTGTGACGCCAATGTCCATGATTTCTGGCATTTCTCTGCTAAATAATTGCAATGTTAAGGATTTTAGTGCTCTTGAGGAAAGGATGGTTGAGTTCAGCATTGATGAGGTAAACATTTTAGCTCATGTTTATTTGTATAATTTTCATATTAATTGAATGGTTGCTTGATTTATCCTAAACTGTATTTGTAATACCCCAAACACCTTGATTGGTCTGCATATGAGGATGAGGCAAGTCCCACATCTCATTCCTACTAATCAGGTTCCATTTGAAAGAATATGCTGATGGCTTTCAACACTTTGATTGGTTGGCCAATATTCCATATTAGGAAAAGAAGATACCAATTGTCGATCAGGGCATGTTTTAGTTATGTTCTAACAATCCCATCATCCACTTGATCATAATGGAACCAATTATCCACTCTTCAGTTAGCACAAATGAACCTAAAACTAACAAGGGAAACCTATTCATAGGGCAACAGTCATTGGCTGCAGAGATATAATGTTTGAAGTGTAGGCTAAAAAACATGTGAATCATCCTCTTAAGAGTACTAAAAATACATTTAGGGGGTGGGGGGTGGGGGGTAGGACATTGCTATAACATGCCCAGATAATCGGTGTCTTCTTTTCCTAAAGCCATCAGCATATTCTTTCACATGGAGCTTGGTTGGTTGAAATGAGATCTGGGACTTGCCTCATCGTGATAACACTACTTTGGTATGTCATCCATGAGCATACAAATCAAGGTGTGAGAGGCATTACAGTGTTGGAGTTAATTATTGAATTGCCTCTATTTCCATTTTCGTATCTAGCTTCAAGCTGTGATGGACTAATTAATGATGGCGATGTCTGTAGTTGATAACTTGTTGCACAAAAGTATAAAACTGAGGCTATGGGGGAACTTGTGATGCCTTTATTATGTTCCATATCTAGGTTTCTTGTCGCCTTGAAATAATTTTCAACTGTGGAATCATATTATTGTAGTATCCATTTAGGCACAAACTGGTAATTTCCTCCAATGAATTTTAGACATTGTCTGATCAATTTATGAATTCTGCTGCTAGTCCTGAGCTCTGAGTCCTGACAGAGGTTTTACATTATGTCTTTCTTGTTTCTGTTAGGGTCTGGAGATGTTGAAGGCTTCTCTGCATTCAAATACTGCTCTTACTGATGTCTTCATTGTGAAAAAGGAGGTCAAGGAAGTTAAAATAGATGAATGAAACTAGTTGATATCAGGCTGCTTTTGGGAATCTAGTCTTAATTTTGTACAGAAAAGGTTTTTTGTTGCAATTAAGCTTATGTCAGTTCTTGTTTTAAGTTGATGGAACTCCATTTAGAGGAGCAGTTGAACTTTTCAAAAATGGTGCATTATCCAACTCTCATAAGTGTTAACTGCAACATAATGTATAGTTAGTACTATTTCATGGATGGTTTTCTAGTTGGGTTGATAGTATATGTAGCCATTGCTTGCATTGCTGTGGATGTTAGAGTTTAATGGAATGAACTTAATGGTTTTTTTTTGGTACATACGAGGCCGTAGCCTTAGAATAGGAGGAGTTGCAGGTATAGGGATCCAAACTCTAGACCGTTGAATGTCACATTTTAAGGGTGGTTGCATGAATCAACTTAGCTAAACTCTGGATTTTGCATGTTAATCTTGATTAAACCTGGCCTATAGTTTTGTGTAATTGAATTATTTCAATTCAATTTTTGGCTGTTTCTTAAATCACAGGCTATCGTTTATGAAGCATATAGCTGTATTCTGGTCATGGAGGTAACATTTGCACCAAGCATATCAGTTCTTGTTTTTCCTCAATTGTCCAAAGCTTCTGAAACTGTAAACGATCTGATAAATATATTTGTTAAAGTGAATATATCTGAAGCAAAGAAGAAATCTCTTCAAGTGATAGGAAATGGAGTGAATGAACTAATTGAAAACAGAGAACCGTTACCAAGCAATCTTCCAATGTTCAAATATGTGATAGAAATATCATAAATTGATTCCAATAGTACTAGATAAACTTCTATCAAGCCAGAATTTTGGAAATTCTCATATGATAATTAACCATACATGGCACATTTAATTGCAAATAGTTTAGAAACAACTAGCCAAAGCAGCATTTTTAGTGTGATCGACATCCAATCGTTTTACATATAGCTAACCACATTTATGGCAATGAACCTTCTGGCCAAAAGTGAGAGGGTGTTGATGATCTCATTTTGTGTAGATCCTCCCCTTCTTGATAAAGAGTATTTTCCACAGTTGGGATGAGCTGAATTGTTACGAATTGCACAAAGATAAAACCAATGTTAGTTTCTTTCTTTTCTCATATGTCACAGTAATGATATTCTGAATAATTGTAATCATTGTGATAGGTGAGACAAATAGGATGATCATCTAATTTGTTTCGAGCTCTTAGTCGTGGAGTCATACAATTTATGTACAATCTATGTGCAGGTCTTGTAGAATTTCCACAAGCATTGCACAACCTGGTATCTTTCTTATGCTCTGTTGTTAGCAACTGCATAGGCTTCATTAGTTTGTTTCTTTTCCTTCTTTGCCAAAGTTCTACGTTGGCCTGGTCATTCCCTTTGAGGTTTACATGGAGCTTATATTTGTGATAAGAATGGCAAACTGAAACTTCGATGTTTCGTAGCAGTATTGCTATGGCAGAGACCAGGCGATGCTCGAACCTATTTGATTGACAAAAGGGAAAATAATGTCCTATTTGCTGAAGCTGTTTAGGAGTTTGTGAATTTACTGTTCTTTTCCTTGCCCGTAGGTACTATAATCAGGCTTCTTAAAAGTGCAAACATGGTTCGCAATGATTTCATTAGTTGCTTTTTATAGCTCATTTGTCTAAACAAAACAAAAATAAGAAGAAACATAATATTAACCATCCCTAAAAGGTGTAGGAAAACAGCTAATTGGCATAATCTTGAGTTCTCATTCTATGATAATCACTTGATGATGCAACAACAAAAAGGAAATATTAATACAAATTACACAGACAAATTATTGGTGGAAGTACTTCCATATTTATTTTCATCAGAACACAACATTTATCTGAAAAGCACGAGAAATTAATGTGCTAAGTTATGTAATGGTTTAATATTTTGTTAGTAATGTAAATTGTTTACTTCAGCATAAGAAGATATTATTACCTGTTGATTAAGCAGCATATAAAGTTTGGCCTTCACGAGGTAAGCGAGCTGGACGAAGTTTGTCTCTAATAGAAGAAAGCCTGGTAACAACATCACTCATGTCTATCCGCTCGCTTGGTGATTCAGCGGAACAAGTGACTCCTATTTCAAATATTGAATTCAAGCATTGACAATGTCTGTCATTTCCCAGGCTGTTTCCATTGCTCTCTTGAAGAAGAATGGGATCTATAATCTCAATCACTCGTTCTGGCAAAGCTGCCTTAGCAAAATTGTGAAGGCTAAAACCTTCTTTGAACATTTCATCTGACGGCCTTTTCCCTGTAAATATTTGTAGCAAGAGGATGCCGTAGCTATATACATCACCTTTTGTTGACAACTCGCTTCCCATGCCATATTCTACAATTAATTCATCATAAATATTATACAGAATAATTGCAGCTGATATCCCTTGAAAAATATATAAAGACCATAACTCTCACGTCCAAACTATAAATATACGAAATTACATTCCAAGTGTACTTACCTGGTGGAGCGTAGCCAATAGTTCCTCTTAATCTAAGGGAACTTGACTGAGTAGTAGAATAGTTAAGCCTGTCTCCAGAAAGGATTTTTGCTAAGCCAAAGTCACTTATATGGCCAACCATTTCATCATCAAAGAGAATATTGCTTGGCTTGATGTCACAATGAATAATTGGTGTTTCGCAATGATGGTGCAGATACTCTAGTGCATGAGCAACATCTATGACCACATTTACTCTTTGGAAGAAATTCAGGTTTCTCATTTTCTCCTGTTCATTCATGCCAACAGATGGATGCAACCAATCCTCCAAGCTTCCATTTACCATGAACTCATAAACCAATGCTTTAAAACCGTTGCCTTGATAATCGACGCCTGATATTGCTGTTAATACCTTGACAAGATTCCGGTGTCTAATGTTCTTCAAGGCCTCACATTCAGCCAAGAAACTCCTGGAAGCTCCAGGATTCAGAAGATTAAGCACCTTAACAGCAATAACAACTCCGGTCTCTTCCAGAATTCCTTTGTATACAGAACCGAAGCCACCTGAACCAACCAAATTTTGTAATGAGAATCCATTAGTTGCCCTTAGGATTCTTTGGTATGATAACCGTAAAAGTGAATTTTCTGCAAATGTTGCTACTGGCTGCTCTTTCTTCTTTCTAAACCACAGCATGAGGAGAAAAGAGAACACCAAAGTCACTCCTAAAATCACAAAAACAATCGCAATTTTTAATTTAAGAGAAGTGTTTGATCTTTTGGTGATGGATGTTTTCGAGTTACATATGGACAAGTGTAACTCAGGGATGCCTCCACAAAGCTTACTGTTTCCCTCAACGAATGTAGCATTTGCATTCTTAAAGACTCCTTCAACAGGTATCATACCCTTGAAATCATTGAAAGATAGATTTAAATACTGTAATGACCCAAAGCTCACAAGAAATTCGGGGATCTCACCGGAAAGATTATTGTTAGATAAGTCTAATTCCACAAGACCTCTCAATGAACTCAAAGATGAAGGAATGGACCCTTGGAACAAATTTCCATCCAAAAATAGGTTCTCTAGTCTTACACAGCTACCAAGATTGTCTGGAAGCAAACCCGATAACCTGTTTTGTGAAACAGACAATTCACCTAGATTTTTCAGATTTTCTAATTCAACAGGAAGCACACCCGTTAAATAGTTCAATGATAAGTCCAATGTAATGGACAGGGATGAGAGTCCAATTACTTCAGGTGGTATTGAACCACTAAGATTGTTATCGGCAAGATCCAACACAACCAAATTTTTGCAATTTCCTAGACTTGAAGGAATGTTGCCCTGAAAATTGTTACCTTTTAAAGTAAGTCCCGTTAACATTGTTAAATTTCCTAGAGAAGGGGGAATGGCTCCAGAAAGAAAATGATTATTATCAGCATAAAATATCTTTAGCTTCTGAAGCTTCCCAACAACAATGGGAACCGAACCTGATAAACGATTATTTGTTGCCGCTATAACCTCCAAATTGATGAGATTTTCAATCCCAGGCGGAATTCTTCCCACTATTTTGTTATTTTGTATCACTAAAGACGAAATAGTGATAGACAAATTGCTGATGCACTCGGGCAATACCCCTCCAAAATTATTTCCACTTATATCCAAATATTTCAGATTGGTAGCATTGGTTAAAGAACAAAGAAAATTTATGTCCCTTCCTCCCCCATCTCCAAAATGGTTTTTGTATATGAGAAATAATGATAGTTTATCCAGCTTTTCAAATGAAGGCAAGTTTCCACTCAGTTTGTTAATTGAAACTTGAAATACCATGAGATTAGTGGCATTGGATACTGAAACCGGGAATTTTCCAGTGATTTGGTTTTGCATGACGGAGAAGATTTCAATATACGGCATAGTAATTCCTAAATCAGAAGGAAGAGTACCTTGAATCTTGTTTTCGCCAATATCAAAACCTCTAATATTGGAGAGATTGAAAATTGAGACAGGGACAATGCCAGAAATTTCGTTGTCTTCCACAGAGAAAAATGAAAGATTTGTCAATAGCCCAAGAGCCTCCGGTATAGTCCCACTTAGTCGATTCTTAGGCAAAAAAAGTGCCTCCAAAGACGACAAGTTCCCCAGTGAAGGTGGGATACTACCTGTTAAACTGTTGTTGCTTAAACTTAAAAATTTTAGGTTTGACAAGAGACCAAAGAAACCAGGTATTTCTCCTATGAGCTGGTTGCCTCTGACATGAACAACTGCAAGCTTCGAACAACCAGATAAATTGGAAGGAATTTCACCACTTATGGAGTTATTGGACAGTTGTAAGATTTCCAATCTTCTTAAATGTCCAATATCTTGAGGAATTTCGTTGTTGAAGTTGTTGCCTTCAAGATTCAACACCCTGAGATAGCTCAAATTTCCAAGGTACGGTGATAGGGACCCTGCAAGTTTTAAAAGTTGCAGTTCCAACCTGATAACTCTCTGATGTCTGCGACCGCATGTAACACCGTACCATTGGCAAAAGTGGATGGAATCATTCCAGGAATGCATGACCCTGAGCTGATCACCAGTTATCTTAGCTTTGAACTCGAGCAAAGCTTGTTGATCTGTGTCATTTCCAGTAACCACAGGGGTTGCTAAACCAAGCAAGTTAAGACCCTGCAGGTTGAAGCATGAGAGGATAATTAATAATTCAACGTAAACAAAGAAAACTGAGCTGGACACTTCCAAATGCTTGCTCGATAGCTCCATCAACCCAAATAAATTTCGTAATTGATGAGGTTGGTTTGTATTTGAGAGTGCTTGGGATCATCAACAAGAACTACAGTGCAATATGAACAAGTTTTGGAACTCTGATATTTTATCCTGCTTTGTCTCTCGTCAATTGATTTGTTTTCTGACTTGGAAAGTCATCTGGCCAGTATTAGCATGGGCCCCTGCTTTTAGTGGAAGAAGCATCTACTTTGTGTTGGCTTTCATCCTAGATTTTGACCATAATTGATCCATACCATGGAATTAAAGTGGCAAAGAGTATGGGCCTTAGTAAGTGCAGATTGAACCAAACTCTTTTTAAGTTCTGTGATTCTGACTAATTGCAGAATACTTCACCTCATTACCCTCTTATTTTGCATCATCCAAGCAATCAAAGACCACCATAACAGTGGCTGGTCTTGGAGGCTGACCCATATCCCACGACAAAAAAACTTATTGACTGGCTAACAAAAGTCTATCCCAACTGCAGGAATTCAAATTCATCATCAAGCTCTTGAAGACTTGAAATCTATCCTGGTGGCAGATATAGTGGGAGTAGGATATTTTTTATTAGTTCAATTGCTTGCTCAGGGCCAACAATTGAGAGTGTTTAGTTTGTTGTATATCTATCATAAATAGAACTGGTGAATGCTTTTTTGCAGTAAAAAGGTTTAAGTGTGAGCATAACCATTAGTAATAACCTACGCATAGGGATTGGTTCCAATCACAAAATTCAAATTCAAAGTCTAGACCAATCTGGGAAAAAAATCCCAGATGCCATGATGTAATTGTGATTGTTAACAATTGCATTTTGCCACATAGTTTTATTGCCACAACTTGTTTAACAAGAAATACTAATGTTTTTTACAACTACATATAGATGAATTTAGTTTTTCATTTTCTTTGGGATTCTATTATATTTTACATTATGTTCTTTATCTTTTGCATTTTTTATATGAACAATTTCTTAATCAAAGAACTTACTGATTTTCTTCCAAAGAAAAAAAAACAAAATGATTTTCGTACAACCTTCTATATATAATTTATTTGGTTAGTCAGAAACCTTTTCTAATTGTATATAAGGCTTGTCGAAATGAAACCCCAACTACTTGCATGGATTTTGGGTGGCCCAAATTTGCATTTGAATCGGACATTAACTTTTCGGCTAAAAACCCATTTACCGCTGGTTTAATTTGGGTTTTGCGGTTTGAAATTTGATCGGGAAGAATGAATTTAAGGTCAATTCACCAAAAAAAAAAAAAAAAAACAGGAAAGGAAAATGTCAATAACTGGAAATAATTTCAATTTCATTTCTCGATTCTGAATCCAAGAGATTCCTCCTCAAATTAACAACCATGTAAAAAGTATAAAACTTCCCACAATTAGCCAAACATATCCACTCTATTCTCACACACACACACACACACACACACACATATATATATATTATTTATTTATATTTATATTTATATGTATAATAGTGTGAATTTTGAAAGTGCTAATAATAATCGATTTAAAATTTTTATTAATTTTTAAATCAATAAATTTATCCTTAGATGTATAATTTTTATCAATTTATTTTTAATTTAAATTAACTAAAACTAAAATTAAAAATAGAGTTTATATGAAAATAACTATTTAAAATTTTAAAATTTTAATTCTAAAATTGTAAAAAGCGATTAGATAAAATATTTTTAGTAAATTTTTTTTATAAATTTTAATTTAAATGAATTTGTTATTATTAAACTCTTTTCTATAATTAAATTAAAAAAGTGTTAAAAGTAATTGATTCAAATATTTTTAATGCTAAAAAGGAAATCATTATAAATTGTATAGATATTACACAATAAATTTATTATTCTAAGAAATAAAATTTTCTTAAGGAAACATGACAAGTACTTAAGTTAGGAATTTTATTTTATTTTATTTTTTAAAATTATGTATTTTAATATTTTTATTTAATAAAATTTATATATAATAAAGTTTAAAAAAAATTTAAGTTTTCAATTGATAAAATGTATAATTACATTCAATTAATGGAAGCACCAATGAAAAATTATTCTAAGTAGAAAAATGAGATGAATCTTTAATTGATTATGCATAACTCTATTGATTTATAAAAAATAGAGTTATGCATTTGTAATTTTTTAAGATTAATATGAAACTTTTTTATTTTTAAAAAATATTATATACTCATTCATTTTCTCTTTTATATCAATTGAAGAATATTTAATGTTATATAAAAAATTTTGAAGTTACAATATTAGGTAATATTTGTTCAAAATAATTAAAATTCAGTAAATTAATTATCATTTTACATCTAAAATAAAAATGAATTATAAATTAACTAAACTTAAAAATGATTTAAAAGCATTTATTACCAAAATTCATTTGATAAATCTTAATTTAATCGTTGGATCAATGTCAATTATGTTAAGTCAAGTTTTATCATCTACTTCTATCATTGTGTACTTAATTATTTACTTGTGCATTTAAACAAATTTGACTTAATAATTGATATATACTTCTCTCTATTTAAAAAGTTATATTCAAAGCGTCCTAAATTCAAATAAAAAATACACTCAATTACTTATAATTACAATTTGACTTTAGAAATACTTTTAAAATTAATAATTAATTCAACTACAAAGATAATAAAAATAAAATATTGAAGATGAAGGGAAAACAACTTAAATAAAAAACTTTTAAATTGTTACGAAAAATGAATAACTAATATTAAATTTTGATTAGGTTACTATTTCAACTTGGATTTTGGTTGTATTCAATTATTTCATATTTTAAATAACTACTAAGTTGCTAACTTTTTAAAATTAATTGAAATTGAATCAAGTTAATTTATTTTTATAATTATGTGTCTTATATTATTTTTAATTAAATTAAAATTTAAAATGAGTAAAAAAATTTATTTATACTATATATGAGATTTTTATTGTTTCAAATCTAAGTTAATTAGTTCATATTATTTTAGCTATACTTTCATGCCACTGGTAATAAATTTCAAAATAGAATGAGAACACAACACAATGAAAATTTAAGTGCAAAAGTAATAGAAATACTAATGATAATTTTAGAAAAAAAAATCTTTGTGTCCAAGTTTTGCAAAAATTTAAAGGATATTTCTTTTTTAAGGATTTTGAAATTTATATTACAAAAATGTTAATCTAAATCAATGAGTTTATAATTGTTCATTTATTAATCAAATTGCTATTGTATGAGTTGAGGGAAATAATTCAAATATTTCATTTGAAAAAGATAATATCATAGTTCAAACCTATACATCAAGATAACATAGAGTTAAACATTTTTGAGTTGTTATGATCTTTTTAATATTCTTTACTCTTTCTAGTTGATTGACATCAAAATATAAAAAAAAAATTATTTTGAATGATGGTAATAAGAATGAAGCAACAATTAAAAATGTATTATCTTTTAATTTAGTAGAAAAAATATTTTATAGAGAATGAGAAATATTCTTTACTCTTTTCAAATGAAAAAGTTGATTAGCATTAAAATATAAAAAAAGTTAGTTTGAATTATGGTAAGAAGATTGAAATAACAATTACAAATATACTGTTTTTTTGTTTAGTGGAAGAAATTTTTTTTAAGAATGCGAATATTGTGAATTTAATATATTTTTTAGAATTGTTGTTTGTTTAATTTTTATAAATTTTATTTAGTAAATTTATTCTTATTAGTTTTATCATATATATAACAAAATTTTTACCTAAATTTGTATACTTAAAAATATAAATATAAGGCGAAGTTTATTACTTCTATTGGTGACTATACGTCAAAATTTTTAATATTTTATGTGTATTGTATTTCACTAACAGGTATGAAAATACAAACACTAATAATTCAAGCAAACCATCAATAAAACTTGCCTTAATATAAACTATTTTACTATGAGCTAAAATTTAAAAAATATCTTAGAAATATTGACTTAATATATTGTATATATTAATTGAATTTAGTTTTAGTACTTGCATTAATATAAAAAGTTTATAATTTTAACTTATGATTATGTGTTAAACTACAGATAGTAAATTTAAAGCATTTACTCATGCTTTTCAAGTCATTTAAACTTGAATTTTTTCTTCCTTTTTTTCTTTACCTTGCAAATTAAATCATTTAGCATATATTTAATTACTTTCTTTTTGGATATATACAAATCATTTATAACATATTAGTAGTTAACTAATTATTGAAAACCTAAATGTAATCAGTTTAATTTAGTAGTAATAATCGATAAATTATAGTAAATTAGTAATAACTTAATAGTAAATGAACGATAATTTAGTAGTAAATAATTGATAACTTTTTAATAAATCGATAATAATATAATAATATATACATAATACCTTAATGGTAAATCAATTATAATATAGTTGTAAATGTATAATAATATAATACTAAATTAATGATAACTTAAAAAAAAAAATAATAACTTGTAGTTAATTATTAATAACTTAATAATATATCAATCATAACTTAATAGTAAATTAGTAATAATTTTATAATAAATCAATTTCAATTTAATAATAATTAATTGATAGTGGTAAATCCTAAATAACTTAATAATAAATCAATGATAAATTAGTAGTAAATAATTGATAATTTAGTAGTTAATCATTGAAAACTTAAAAGTAAATCACTATAACTTCGTAGTAAATTATTGATAATATAATAGTTAATCAATACTAACTTAATAATAAATCATGTATAATTTAATATAAATTTGTAATAACTTGGTAGTGAATTATAGATAATTTAGTGATAAATCGGTGATAATTTTTTAGTAAATAATCAAAAATTAAGTAGTAAATCAATGATAACATAATAGTAAATATATAAAGATATCATAGTAAATTATTGATAATTTAGTAGTAAATTAATAATTTAGTAGCAAATCACTAATAACATAATAGTAAACTACTAATAACTTAGTTGTAAATGATAATTGAATAGTAAGTTAATCA